CCTAAACTAATTTCCCTGAAGTCAAATAACTGGTAGAGGTCTTTTCATGTTCTTTGTATAAATGTCTATTTAATCACCGTCCTGTCTCCAGCACTTCAATAACGCGTGTGTTTCCCCCATAATCACCGCTTCAGCTCTGCAAAGAAAAGAAATGGATGGCTGAGAAGCTCCAGCCATCTGCAGTATTCGAGCCCTCTTTCCCCCTGACTGCCCACTTGAATGGAGAAGTCTGCTGCTAAGTCCCACTGGCCGTTTGGCTCATATCGTATTATTGCAGAAGAGAGTCCTGAGGCCAAAGGCATAACAGCTGGCCAGGGCCAAGTTGAGGCTGGACTGGACTTCCTACAGGATGCATCCTGTCCCCTCCCAAAGCCTCTCCCCTCTCATCCTGCTGCAGAAAGGGCATGAGCTCCTGCAGTCATGGCAACTTGGGTTTGACTTGGCCTTGCCATTGGCTGATTCTTAACTTGGAACACACTGCATGCCCTCTCGGAGTGACATTTCCTCCATTTACAAAACACGGATTATCACAAACTGTCCAGGGTTACTATGAAGATGACATGAAACAAGCCAGCCAGGGTCTGGCCTGTCACAGACACCCGATGCTATCTGCCTTTGCCCTTCACCGTAAATGCTCGTGCCAGTAATAAAACTGGAAACGGCTCCCATTTATTGAATGCTTGCTTGATGCCAGAAACTGGCCTAAGCACTTTACATGTAGTAGCTCATTTATTCCTCCTTCTATCAAGGTAGAAGTATTGTTTCTTGACTCCCTGAAGCTATCCATCTTCACAGCCCCTAGACTGCCTGGGCTAGCATCATTTCAACAGAATTTGCTGATTTTAAACAATATGTTACTGAAATCATGTCTTGTTTTCGATGGTTGGCTCATAGCAGCCAGTTTTCTGGATATGGTAAAATGTGATATAAAAAAAAAAACAACAACAATTAAATGTTTCCTTGGCATTTAGCATGTATGAATGATCCAAATCTGAACTAAAGGTTAACTCCTACAGAGAAGGGGATAAAATGGGTACAGATGGGAAGAGCCTCGATGGACTTAGAAATGAGGATGGAAGCTAGTTGCTGGGGCACGGGTATGAGAGTATAACAGCCAGATGTGAAACACATCAGAATTTTGCTGCAAATTTCAGAACTTTAGCTGAGCCCCCAGTTCTGATCCCACCAGTGCCTTGGGACCTTCCAGCACCTCCCCCCCCACCAGCTATGTTAAAATCGTCCCGGGGCTCAGAAGGCACCTGTTCAATCTCACTGTTTCGTGTTCCCTCTTGGACTCTCTTATTTATGCATGCTGTTCCTCCGTCTCTTGCTCTCCCTTGGAACTCCTATGTAGTCTTCAAAATTCATCTTAGGTGTCGCCTCCTCCAGGAAGCCATCAGAGGTCCCTGATCCTGAGCCTGCCCTATGTGCTCTTGGCTCTGGGTCACACATCTTTGGCAAGTTTCTGAAGGGAGTTCACCAAACCTTATTTAATTTTATTCCTCTGGCTTCTGATAAAAACCTTGGCAGAGAGTTGACATATAGTAGGTACTGGTTGATTTAATGACTGAAATGAGAATGAACATGTCTACCTCCCTCAGGTAAGTAGCCACGGTAAGCTATGATAATTATGGTAATAATACTTAGTACCTCAGCACCAAGTTCTATACACAGTGCCTTGCTATTTCTCTAAACCATAACAATGGCTCATGAATATTAAACATCTAACTGCTGTCCAGGCATAATCCAGTCACTGCACCTACATATCTCCCTCTGAGCTCTCAGAGAACTGATCAGTGGAGGCTCAGAAGCAAAGTGTCTGCCCAGGAAAGTGTCTGCTAGCAAGGGGCAGACCTGAAGCCCAAGCCCATGGCTTCCTGACTGTTCCTCCCTAAGCGTGGTGCTGCTTCCCAGAGAGGGCGATGACCCCTTGTTGTTGAAGTTGAGCCTACTCTGCACTGGCCTGTCTCCTCCCATTTCCAACCTTGCGGTTTCTCTTTCAGGCCCCCTGGGCTCACGGAGCTCTGCCTCACAGAGCTCTGCCTCACAGCCCTGCTTCCTGCCCAGGCTATTCTCTCCACTGCCAGGAGCTACAGAGGAGCCAGCGTGTGCAGAGCTGAGGTTCCCGGCTGGTGCCAGGGAAACGGCACAGGCTTTCAGAAGCAGGCGCTGCTCTGTCTGTCTGACTGCTGAGGGATGAAACCTTCCCCAGCTTCAGCAAATCCAGAGCCACCAGTGAACACACCCAGAATGGGCCTGGAGAACGAACCAACGGACCGCCCTCAGCAACAAATTTCTCTCCCGTCACCGTTTGCTTTCAGACCGTGGGACTAACTAGTGAGAGCTTGCACATTCCCTGACATGTGTGTGTCCCCCCCTCGGCCCCCGGACAAAAGCCCCAACCATTCACTTGTTTCTCTATCATCTTACAACTCGAGAATTACAGGTGCCTAGTAAGCGCTTAACAGCCCGCTGCTCTTGCCAGATTCCCACTGGAAACGCAGTTTACAGGCATTTGCTAGAGGAAGCCAACCAAGACCCCAGAAGGCAGACGGTCCCGCAGCCACCTCATGAAGACACTCATTCTCCAAGCCTCTCCTGGGCATCTACTATGCGTCAGGTTCTGTGCTGGGAACCGGAGGCAGCAGTAAAACTACACACAGTCCCTTCCCTTGTCTGAAGAGGCAAGCAGCCCCAGCGAGTACAGTGACGTGCACAGGGGAGCACAGGCAAACCGAAGAAACCTGTTTGTGGCTTTGTTTGTTTTTTGTGATGTTGGGTGGGTGGATGGTCAGGAAAGACTCCAAGTCAAAGAAATCTCTCTCTCTCTCTCTCTCTCTCTCTCTCTCTCTCGGACACACACACACACACACACACACACACACACACACACACACAGAAAGAGAGGGAGACTCGGGATCTGCGCAGCCATGTAACCCTCAGCCTCTACGGGCCACTCCATCAACAACGGGGCAGAGGCTGCTCCACACAGGAGGCAGTTAGAGGAAAACCTTCCTGATGGAGTCTGCTAGGTGTCAGGAACCCCCCCCCCCCCAAGTTCCTGACAACCAGGATAGGAGTGGAGCCACAATCCACTAGGGGTCACTTTGAGTTCCTGGGCACAAGCCTTTTGGGGGTGGGGAGGCGTGAAGCAGTACTTTTCCTTCAGTGGGCGTGGCCAGAAAATCCTGATCACAGGGAGGAAAAGTAAGTTCCAGTGGGAAGCTTCCTGTTGCCCTTAGCTGCTTACCTCCTGCCCCACACAGCTCATGCCAGGGCCTGCTGTGGAGGTTGAAGCGGGATGGCATCTCCTCAGCATGCAAAGTTAGGTTCTATGTACCTAGACCACCTGGGATGGCATCTGTTCCATTCTCCCGGCGTTTAGGAGGCACGGGACTTGTGGGGAGGGGTCAGGGTGGGAGACACAAGTCTTCCTCAGGTTTTTCTGATAGGAGCTAGGCCCAGGATCAAAGAGGAAGGTTCCACGAGGCTTCTCTGTGTTGCATCTGGTGGTCTGCTAAGTCAGACCTTGGACTTGCTGATGTGTGTATGAGAGAGTATGACACTGCTCTTTACAGTTCCCCGCCTCCTTTTAAATATAGGAATGAAAGGCATCGCTAGCTCCAGTCTGCCGTGATATCAGGGAATCCTGGCTGTCAGAAGGCAATACAACCTGCTTTGCAAACCAGTCATCCAATTCGGAATCGCACTGAAGAGGCTGTGCGCCATGCAGCTTAGACCCAATACTTGGTTGGGTGTGACCTCAAACTTCAGTCTAACTCTAGAGTCACAAGTTGTTCACCAGTGATCACCCGAAATCCAACTGACCACAAATGTTGCCGCCTGAAATGGCCTTTATGGGCCATGCTTGAAGTTCCAGAAGAAGCCTTGTAGAAGCGTGTGTTAACAACAGTCCCCACTTGCTAAGGCGGGGAGCCTCTGATTAGACAGTCTGGGGCCAGCTGAAAAGTCCCCCTCCCCCCAAACATGGAGTGTGTTAGGGATAATTCAGAATTACTCTATATTCAGTCTAATAACAAAAATCATCAGCGTAAGACTGTAGTCAGGGGCGGGGGCCATCTCAGACAAGGAATAACCAGAACAGCCAATCAGAGACCTAAACTGACCAGCATCAGGCCAACACCTGTTGCGACTGTGACATCCCAGGGAAAGCTCTGTCAGAGACCAAATTCTGAGAAGAGATCATTCCAAGAGTACTACCCAGGAACACACGCCAACCCTCCCTGCGCTGGCAGAAAAGCCGGAGCCCCACCTGAGGGGCATTTACACGGGAACGGTTGTACAGACTTGCACCACGCTGGGGCCTGGCACCGGAGCTCTTCCGAGACAGACTGCACGAGGCAGATACCTTCTGCCCGACATCTGTGCTCCCCAGAACTACAGGGCGGGGGGAACCGGCACAGCAAACGGCTCACAAATCTCCAGCACAGCTTCTCCTGGCCCTGTTTACATTTACGACCCCGCTGCAACTTTCCCACCTGCAGCCAGGAAGACTCACATTAACACTTTACAGCGAGGTCTTTGTGTGGGTTCTCACAACAAGCCCCCCCCCCCCCCCATTTAAGAGGACTCTAAAGGCCAGGCAAGAGCAGTGACTTTGAATCCCATGAACCTCGAGTGAGGTTAGGGGCAGGGGAAGCACTATTCGGAGATGGGACCGTAGACAGTAGAGGGAGGAGTTTGGGAGCTCGTGCCGGAAGGAACTGTACAAGGAGACTCTGAACAGCATTAAGGTGACTTCCTAGACAGAGCTAAGCCCAAGTTTCCCACCAGCTGAGGACTCAGGGGAGTCAAGAGCAGGCTTTTGCCTGGGCACCGAGGAGAGGGGACACCCCGTCAGGAAGTGGTGACACTCACGGGGTGGGGGGTGGGGGAAGGCTGGTGTCCAGTCCCTAGAGGGGCGGGGCCCAACTTAGTGCCTCGGGACTCCTGGGAAGCGCGGGGTCGGAAGGGGCGGGTTCGCGCGGAGGGCAACTCACTGAGGAGAAGTTGTGCGGGCCACAGAGCTCGCCCCGGTACTTGCAGGAGAGCAGCATGTCCTCCAGCTGGTGGCCCAGGCGGTCCATGAAGGCAGCGCTGATGCCCTCGAAGTGGCGCGGCGGCAGGAAGAGGCGGAAGTCGGCCAGCTTGCGGAACCACTGGCGGCGCGGCTCGTCGCCCCGCAGCAGCTCGCTGACCAGCGGGCGCGCCGTGCGGTTGGGCAGCAGCAGCCCCAGCCAGTGGCCCGCGTAGTAGAGGTCCCCTTTGGAGAGGCGCGGGAAGCGCAGCGGGTTGTTGTTGCACACGGTGACCGCCGGGAACGGCAGCTGGCGGCTCCACTCGCGGTGCACTCGCGTGTGCGACGGGAAGCTGAGCCAGTAGAGCAGGCGGTTCGAGGACCAGGACAGCAGCAAGCCGAGGGACGTGCAGAAGGCCAGCACCCACAGCGCCCGCCGCTGGAAAGAGCCTCCCGCCGCCGTGCGCCCCGCGCACATGTGCCGCAGCCCGTGCAGTTTAGTGCGACTCAGTGACGGACGCCCCCTGCGGGCGACCCCTGGCCCCTGCAGCGCCCGATCGCCACTCCGGTCGCCCCCGGGCTGCCTGGCTGCCGCCACCGCCGCGGACGCCGGCTGCTCGCGGGCCATACGGAAGCGTCCCGGGCCGGTGAGCGCGGTAGCGGGCAGCCGGGCTCCGCCGCTCCGGCTCATTCATTCAGCCCAAGGCTGGCGACAGCGGCGGCGGCCCCGACCGGGCGGAGCCGCCATGGGAGTCCGCAGCAGCAGTGGGAGCAGCAGCAGCAGCAGCAGCAGCCGCGCGCAGCCTGCGCCAGGGATGCCTGCGCCCGACAGGAGCTCCGGTGGCGCGGCATGCCCGCCCGGCGTCGCCGCCACCGCCTCCGCGGGCGCTCGCCCGGGACCGAGTGCCGCCTCGGCCCGCCGCCCCTGGCTTTGGCCTCCTCCCGAGCGCCTCCCAGGCTCTGGTGGCCCCGAGTCTTCCAGGAGGATGCAAGTCACCAGGCGCTACCTCCGGAGGGGCCCCAGTGAGAGCCGCCTTTCCAACCCCTGGGCGCTGTGCCCGCTGACCTCCCCTGGTCCTGGACCTCCAGGGACCCTTAGCTGAGTCCCCCCGGCACCGACTAACCCCAGTTTTTACGCCGATCCTGAGAGAGGGGCCACTGGGCCACCATGCCTGGTTTGGATAGTCCCGGGGACCCCACCAGTCTGGCCCTTAGCCCTGTGGCGCTGGGACATGCGAAGAAAGGCGCCAAGGAACGAGCGCCCCCAGAGGCGCTCAGCCGCTCCTGGCTCGGCGGGTGGGGTGGGTGTGTACCGGGGTGAGTGGTCTCCGAGTGGCGACTTCCTCTTTCCCTTTCCTCCAGGACCCTTCTTTCTCACGGCTGCCTTTCCGCCGAGGCGCTCCCAGGCTTCCCCAAGTCCAGTTCCTGAGTCTTTCAGGGTGTCTACTGCCGTCCGGGGCCGGCGGCTTCTCTGGGCGTCCTGCGGAAAGCTGCTCGCGGCCGGGCCCCTCCAAGGTTGCCGGTCCCAGGGAACTACCGTTTCCCCTCCTCGGCACGGATTGTATCCAGAAAAGCCCCGCTAGGCTGTCCCTTGCCTCTTCTCCTCCGTGGGCGCCAGGAGCTGGGAACTGCGGAGCCCAAGCAACACCTCCTCGGGGCTGATCTGGACTCGCGGCTGATCGAAGCTGCTTCGTGGGCCGGTCTCCTCTGGAGACTCCAAGTCCGCGATGGCGGTGGCAGTGGCGGAGGCGGCGGCTGGGCTCTTCTCTCGGTGGCCCGGCCCTCCTCGGGGCCCCGGGCGAACTTGGGCAGCAGCCGCGCTAGGGCTGGCGCTGCTGGGCTCTGAGCACCTGCTACTGCGCTCGCTGGCCCCGCGGCTCCGGGCGGGCGGGGCGGCGGCGGCGGCCACGGCGAGCGCTGTGCGCTCCTGGAGACGCGGTGCTGACGCTCCCGGCTCCTCCTTGCTGCATTTTAATTCCTGGCCACTGTGGCCGCTGCACACCGAGCGGGAAGCCTCCTCTTGAAGTTGCGGGGGAGAGGGGAACGACACAGATGTGGTCGGTTGTCCCGGCTTTTGGAAGAGATGGAGAGTAGTCAAGAGGTTGTGTTTATTACGTTCAAGCCGTGTGCCAAAGAAATGTGAGGACATGCCTGGGCGTATGAGATGGGCTGGAGAGAAGGGACTGTGTGTAGCGTGGGCACTTGAGCAAGCGTGAGTGCGGTGTCGTGCAGGGGTGTGTGTGTGTAGGATGTGAACTGTTTATGTGTGAACCGGCACTTGTGCCAAACTCTTCAGTTCGTGAAGCTGCCTGTGGGTGATGTGCCGCGGCTGCTGGAATGTGCCATAAGTGGGAAAGTGCCTGTGATGGGCTGTGTGCTCTCCGTGTGCCTGTCCCTGGCGGTGAGTATGAATGAGTGTAGTCTCTGATTTGCATGTGTATGGATTTTGAGGAGGGACTGTGTGATCAGTTCCTGGGAGAATGGACTCAAGGGGAGAGCCTCTGTCTTCTGCCTCTGGAAACTTCTCAGGTGCACCAGCCTGGTCTTTGGAGGTGTTTTCTCAGGCAAAAATAGCTCTCCCTAGAGATGAAGGGAAAGGAGGGTAGGGAAGGGGATGGCTTCCCTAGACACGAGACTCCATTATTCTCCCTACCCCCTCCCCCAGGAAGCACCCAAGCCTTTCTGTAATTCCTGCACACTTTTAAACCTTCGATGCTGCCCTTCAAACACTCTGCCTTAACTTTCGTGGGGCACTGAATGAGTTCTGTAGGCACAACTGGTTCCATTTCCTAAGTGATATGAGGGAAGCCAGGGCTCAAGGTGGCACAGCTGAACCGTGGTTAGCTGGATTCAGGGCTCAGATCCCAGAGCCCTACTGTCTCATGGGCTCTTGCAGTTTTCAGGCTGGGCTGGGATCAGGGCTGGGATCCTGCTCCTATGGCTGCCTGGGAGTGTGGGGCACACGGGAGGACTCTCTACATACTTTCTAAACATCACCAGGACAGGTAGTCTTCTGAGTTCCCTTACTGGAAAAGGGCTTCCAGACATTTCTGAGAGCAGATGCAATTCGAGGACCTTGAGTATGAGAAGAGAGGTACCCCAACTGGTGGAGGATCCGGATTCTGGGACCAGAGACTGGGAGAGGGAAGATTTGGGAACAGAGAGAAATTCACAACTCTTGTGGTGATGCAGCCAGATCTGTGAAATGGACAGTGAGTTTCTACGAAAGAGGCAAACAGGACTATCGTGAATTTTCTATCCCCACTAGCCTGAGGGCTTCCCTTCCACGGAAGAACTGCTTGTATCTAGGCTCTGGAGAAGAGAGACTCTGAGCCCCTCATCTCCCACTCAGCCACTCAGCCACACACACCACACATACACACACAGCACACAAAGTCCACATACACAGGTGTACACTGTACATATGCACATATCCTATCAGATTCTCACAACTGCACAAATACATGTCACACATAAGGAACATACAAACACGCATGCTGCAATCTTGCATATACATAAAAATACACATTGTACACTGTGTGTATACATATACACAATATACAAATATATACTACCAAATATTATTCATAAAGCATGCATTCACAATCATGTATACATGCACACAATGGACACATGCTATGGCTATGGGTGTCCTTGCTCACACTCAAGCACATACCTGGAGGCTCTTTTCCTCCTCCTCCTCCTCCTCCTCCTCCTCCTCCTCCTCCTCCTTCTCTTCTTCTTCTTTTTCTTTTTATTCTCCTTCATCTTCCTCTTCCTCCTCCTCCTCTTCTTCTTCTTTTCTTCCTCCTTTTCCTTCTCCTCTTTCCTCCTCCTCCTCTTCTTCTCCTTTGGTTTTTTGAGACAAGGTTTCTCTGTTTAGCCTTGACTGTCCTGAAACTCACTTTGTGGACTAGAGTGGCCTTGAACTCACAGAGATTTGCCTGCCTCTGCTTCCAGAGTGCTGGGATTAAAGGTGTTCATCACCACTGCCTGGCTCATGTGCCCTTTTCATATGTCTGGGGAAGAAACTGTTGCTGCCAGGCAATGCTGAGATTCAGCTTTGGATTTGGTTTCCATGAAAGCATCTGTCAGTTAGATGTTGGCTTTGGCGGGAGTTTCTGAGGGTGCCAGGATACTCTAGTCCCAACAAAAACCTCCTACTCTAGTACTCCTTGCTTAGACCCAGGATTTCTGCCTGGGAATTCAGGGACCTCTTCCATAGCATAGAGGTCTGGATGCAGCTACTGTTAGAGCAGCCAGAACAAGCTTGTGACATCTCCCAGCATCCTTACTCTGGATTGGCATATGCTGTTTTGTCAAAAGTTGTTCTGGTTGAGCTTTTCTTTCCTGGCTGTTTCCTCCTTGAGGTAGACACATGTGCCTGTGGGTTGACCAAGTGTCATCTTTCCCCTGGTTCCCCTGTCCATTCTCCAAATGTACAGCATTTACATGGGAGTAGGAATATCCTGCTTAGTGCTCTGTGGGTCTTAGCAATGAAACAGGGAATGTGACTCCAAGCAAAGACTTGTGTCTCTCTCGGTGACCATGTGCCTCCACATGTCTCCAAGACTGACTGATATGCTCTTCCTTTTTCAACTTGTCAGCCCAGAAAAATTCTCCTTCCAAATTCTGTTGCCTCCTAAGGTATGATTTTCTTGGGCTTTCTGTTGATTGATCTCTCTGTCTCTACGATCCCATCACACTTGTGCTGATGTCCCTGTGATCATTCTGCCATCGCACAGCGTCATTGTGTGTGTCCAGGTCTTTCTTAAGGACTCTGAGCCTTTGGAGGACAGCAACTACATCTCATTCATATTTATGTCCCTGACTCTCATCTCAGTGTCCAGACACATTGATGAGATGCACCAATACAGGAGAAGAGGGGATAAAAACAAACCTATAAGATTGTGCATAAGCTGACCATGACACCCTCTCCACCAATAAATAAAAGTTTAGTGCTGTCACCCCTTATAATAACCTTTTAAGGCTGGGCTTGGTGGCACAGTCCTGTAGTCCCACCACTCAGGGATTGGTAACCTCAGGAAACTACTACACCCAGCTAGGCTCCTAACTTGTAAAACTGAGTAAAATGAAAGCGTAAGCACTGAAGGCAACCATCAACCAGAAAGTAGGTGCAAATGTAATTGAAGGAGGAGGCCAGATTTCAGCCCCCTTAAGCAGCAGAACTTGGCAGCTTCAGCAATGTGATTTTGTCTTTAGAGTTAAGGATACAAAAAAAAAAAGAAAGAAAAGAAAAGAAAGGAAAAAAAAGAAAAGAGAAGAAAAGAAAAGAAAAGGAAAAGAGGTTATGGAGTTTCTTTCGGCTGTTAAGGAAAGCTGCTTGAGGCCACTCATGTGTCAGGGGTGTCGCTTCATGGAGGCCCAGACGAGGTCATTTCATGAAGCTGTGAAGATGAGAAGCCTGGAATTTTCTGGAGGCACCAAGATGTTGGAGATGCCAGAGCTGTGGGGTACCTGCCAAGGAAAGCTGCAGACCAGGCGTGGAACACAAAAGAGAGAGAACTGTGCTTGCAGTCAACAAAGATGAAAGGTTGTTGGAGCTCTGAAGAACACTTTGACATCAGACATAGGGATGCAGAGTCTGGAGTTTGCCCTGCTGATTTTTGGTCTTGCTTTGGTCCAGTAATTCCTCACTAGGATCCCTTTCTACCCTTAAGGAATGGTAACGTATATTTTGTGCCAGTGTACGTTGGAAGTATAGTCAGATCCTCCTCTCATATGGGAACCCCAGCC